ATCAACTTTTGCCGCGCGTAAATCTGGAAAGCTTGTGTTTGGTTCAAATGGCAACCAACCCACAAAAGAAACGCCAAAAGTATGTCCCTCATTGTTTGTAAATTAAACGAAATAAGTATGACACCATGCTTATTGTTTGTATCTGTTCTTGTAATCCCAGGTTGCCCCAAAGAACGGCAAGCCAGAGCCTTCTCAGAAGGCAGAAGATACACCTCAGAAGGCAGAAGAGCCGAAGTTCCAAGCATTCACGGGGAAGAAGTATTCATTGAAAGGGTGAGGTTAAAGGCGTATCTTCATCGAAAACAAGGTAAAGAGAGAAGGCATTTCTTCCATCAATTAGTTTTTGAGAGATGAAAAGTCAAGTTATTTGGCAATGGAAGGTCCAACCCCAGAATGTGCCCTGCACTTGAATGATGCTTTATGAACCGAACCGAAGGTTGGTATGAATTGGAAACTTCCTTGTCGTATGTAAATAGGCACATGAACCGAAGGTTGGTATGAATTGGCAACTTCCTTGTCGTACAGACCGTATGGAACCATGTTCATATATTTATAACTCAATATATTTCTTGAATTTTGTCGATTGTTTTTAGACCTCAGTGCCTTGCTGATCTTCATGGTTACTTCAATTCAACTTTATGTGCTAAGCATAGAATGTCTGAGCTCAATTTAAATAGAGTAAAGAGAAATGATTTCCGCACATCATTTTCGCTTTATGGACACTCGTATTTTGTTTCAGTCCTCAATTCTGCTTCTGATTTATTTAATCCAAAGGCTAAAAATGAAAAGTGTGTGCATGAAAAAGTGATGCAGGGCGCAGCGGATAGAAACGAAATAAAATGACAGATATGATTGATAGATAGGGTCCACTATCTCCTAGTGTAAGGAGAGACCTGAAAACCCTATAAACTTTGGTTTTAGTATCAGCCTACAACGTAGACACTAGAACGAACAGAGCAGCAGACTCTTAAACAAGAAAAATGCACATAAAAATGAGTTTACAACTCAAATATTAATATGATAATTCAAACAATCTCTCCCTTTTCTTTACAAATACATGAATTTATAGATGCTTAAACCCCCTCTTAATAATTACTGATACGTGCATCATAGTTCATGCATCATTACTAGAGTTAATGAACTCATTAATATTAACCCCACTTAATCTACCCCACTAACATATATTCATTACATTAAATAAAGATTGAATTATTACATAAAATTCATTACTTCAGAACCCTTGTATTCCATGTATATCGGCTGAATTTCAAAAGCTAAATGTATTGAATCTTTCAATGATCTTATTTCATGTCTTGCATCATTCTCACTGGGTCGGAGAGAATTCGTCCTCGAATTCGAATCACCATCCGCTTTGGAGACAAAATATTGATATCTTCCACTCCAAACAAATAGATACTTTGAATAAATGATAAACTTTGAATAGCATAAAATATGCTCCACAACCAAGGTCTTGATCTGGACGTCTTCCCAATAAATCTTCATTTGATTAGTTGTATTTGCAAAGTTCCTTGCAGTACTTGAATTGAAATGACCAACTCCAATCAAATCAATAAATTCAAAACTACCCAACATGTGAAACAAGCCATGAGACTCAACTTCCATTTATTTAAAGAAAAACTTGAAGTTGTAGCCTTCAACATTTCCAAGGTCCCATCCCATCCACTTGGAATTGCCTCACAAATTTCACAACCCTCACAACAACGATCAAAATATTGGAGGAAGATCTAGATTGAGATCTTCATCTAATGGCATATGCGACATGCTAAATATAGCGTCACTCTTAAATTGAGCTGACGCTCTGATACAAACATTGGTAGGATAAATACTTATTACTAACGATATAGTTACTAGAAACCTAATAAAACATAGCTTTGAAATATGAAAAGCCACAAACAATCAAATTTAATATAAAACTATATTTAATGCCGTGCATTGCATCATACTCCTCTTCTCGAAAAAAATTCGTCCTCGAGTTTTCAGGTGACTTTTGGTTTTCCCTCGATCTTTTGGAAGGCCTTTTTTAACTTTTCCATAACATGTACAATAGCACAAGAAATTTACGAGTGTTCGAAGTCTTGATCCATACTCTTTCTTCAAATAGATAAGCTCGAAATGGCACATGACTCCAATCGTGAGCAGCGGATAACTTGCTTTGATACCACTTGATGCAGGACAAGCTAAGGGTTCTCGGGGAGACGGGGGATGATAACCTGGGAATCACTCAACCAAGGGCAACAAAGCTTGCTCACGTCGCTAATCGTGGATTCGCTCACAAGACCAAGCCAAAATGCTTGATTTTAGGGAAGGAGAAATCACTCACTTCAATTGCACAAAGCAAAATATATTTTAATTCATTCAAGTCTTCCTAAACATACATATGGAGCCCTTTAAATAGAGAGATTACAAACATTGGTAGGATAAATACTTATTACTAAAGATTATAGTTACTAGAAACCTAATAAAACATAGCTTTGAAATATTAAAATCCACAAACAATCAAATTTAATATAAAAACTATATTTAATGTCGTGCATTGCATCAAAAAAGGTGCGTGAAAATCACTTTCCATGCAACCCTACCTTGGTCCTTAGGGTTCGGTAAATTACAGTGTTTGATAACAACTAAAGTGCTTCTTCAGGAAGGCATCCAAGTGAAAAGCGCTTCCCATAGAAAGCAGTGGTGGAATTAAGTGCTGGTTTAGTATTGAGGTGCTTTTATAAAAAGTGGATATAAAAAAAAGCTGAGCTCAAAAAAGTGTTTGGTAAACACTTAAAAACAGTTTTGTTGATGCACAAAATCAGTGAGGACTTTGGTACAACAGAAAGTGTCAAGTTTGTGACCTTCGTTAGATTGCTCCGGTCACTAGTATGGATAAGTATGGAAATGGATAAAGACAAGGAAGCAAACACAAGATGTATGTGGTTTCACCCAGATTGGCTACATCCACAAAGTAGAGGAGTTCTCATTAATTGTGAAGGATTTACACAAGTACATAGGTTCAAGCTCTCATTTAGTGAGTACTAGTGAATGATTTAGTACAAATGACATTAGGCAATATTGTGGGATTATAGAAGAGAGTTTCTAGCTTTGTTCTGACATTGACACGTGTCGTGTTGTGATTGGCTTTCGATGTTGACACGTGTCGCACTATGATTGGCTTCTGATGTCGACACGTGTCGCACTGTGATTGCCCTCCTGGTTTGAGGGAAACTCTTTTGGGTTCTTGACAGTATAACGTTGACCGGTAGTTTCGGGATTGGTCAAGTATGGTATAAACAAGCTTATTTTCACAGTTTTGCGTGAAAAAAGCTCAAAATGTGAAGCAGCAAAAATGAGCTTATTTTCACAGCATAGCAAAAGCAGTTTTTTTTCAAAGCACATCAATACCAAACCAGCCCGGTGAGCCAGTGCCAACAATGTACAAGTCTTATACTGTACTAACACAAGTATTCAACTTTGGGCCCATGATTTTAATACATTATTCCCCATCCTTTTAGGGAATTGTTATTAGTACTCCAAAAATTTCATTCTACACTCCAAACTTTTTATATTAGGAAAGAAAAATATATTTATGAGGAGTGTATAATGAGATTTTTGGAGTGTCAATAACACTTCCCATCTTTTTATCTACTATAGTTCATGAAATTCGAACTCAGTATCACTTTCAATTGGCGCCATTGTCCCTTTCTCATTGTGTGATGTTTAATTATTATTTTTTTCCAACAAAGGTACGATTTTTATTACCAACAAACAACTAAATACAAGAGGTCCAAATACAGGTGAAATATGGCAAAACGAAATGGACCCAATGCTACACAACACAGAGCCCAAAACACCAGTTGGAGCCCAAAAATTGAAACACCACAAACGAAAACCTAGCCTTCTGCAAACATCGTTGCGGCCTACATAGTGCATCCCCATCAGTGCAATCCAATGCCCCGGACCACCGCCAAGCATCCTCACCCCCCCCCCCCCTCTCCCCCCTTTAGAAAAGAGGAAGATGGTGACTCCTACAGCTTGCAATAAACACTGTACTAAACACAACCAGAAATCAAAAGAATTCGATGGAGAACCCTCCAGCAGCAGTGCCAATAAAGGTAAACAAGTGGAAGGCGGTGGTGTGTACACCTAAGCTGAAGCTCTACATACCCCCCAAAAGAATCGTAGCCAAGTGTTGTGAAGAAGGGTGATTGCAGATCGGAAAAGAGATGGGAACGAGGAAGGATGGAGCCAACCCGCAATACGGAGTGGAAAAAATGGGAGAATCGGAGGAAAGAAAAAAGAACAAGGAAATAAAGAGGAGGACTGCCACGGATCTTGGCCACATTTAGGGCCGCACGATTGTGGAGAATTTGCAAGAATGGAAATCACTCACACAGAGGTGAGAAAAGCTCTTAAAGAGGGGGAAAAAACACCCCCTATTGGTGGGTAGTTTTGTCTTCCTATCTACGACGATTGGTCCTTCATTTTTGTTGATATCATCGTGATTGACGTACCAATTTAGGGTACACAGCCCACGTCAGTCCTAGATTCTTGGGGCATGACTTACCTTACACAAAGTGTCCTGAAGCTACCCACATTCACTATACCAAGTGTCATAGGAACTTGAAGTTTCATAAAACAATACTCATGAAACTTGAAGTTTTCAATGCTTAATCAATCCAAATACTTATATTCGACTTGGATGTTCTAACTCGTTGCCTATGAACGTTTTTTTTTCCAAAAGCACAAACCACGACCTTACTCCCCCCAATCCGCGAATTGTCAAACCGTAATAAGTTCGATTTCACTCCTTTGCGAATTTCTGGCAGAAACTAATTTTAAGTACAAGACATGAAGCTCTGCAAAGAGCTTAAGAGCTAACATTGAAGTTGTGATTTCGGCTGAGCGAAGCGAAGTAAGCAACCGCCATAATCTTCACTGTGGTCGCTATATAAACTATAAAACACATGAAATGAATTGTATCGACACTGGTCAATATAATTTAAATATAATTTTATTATAATAAAATGGTCTTTCCAGCATGATTCAGACAAATAAGTGCCCAAGTATTGCTAAATCAAGCTTCCCATCTGATTATATCGTTCTGCAATTTCAAGTTAAAAATTACATGAGAATAATAGACAACACATTTTGGCAGGTCCTACGCTCTGCTGCAAGCCATTTTCCTTTCTGTGGTTGAGTAAAGATGTAGGCCTAAGCTTCCACCAGTTGCTCAATTGCAATCTCTCTTGTAGTTTGGACATTTTCAGACTGCATAGTGGTGATTTCCCAGAGTTCTGGCAGTGCTTCCTTCATATTATGGATGCTCTCAAGTGCATAATCCGCTCCTTTGGTGCGGTGGGAGGTGCCAACCTACAAACAAACCATTTCGTAAATAATATTGGTGAGGATGATATTCCTAGATCAACTTTTCAGTAACTGCAGAAGTTCAACCGTATAAATTAAGCTTTACTAACCAATACTGTATGGAGGCCGCACTGCTTTGCAGTTTGTATATTGCGAATGCTATCATCGAAGAATAACTGGAGAAGAAAACGGAATCACAAAATCAACAGGAGTGTGGCGTGGGAGACAATTAAGAGTGTCCATTTTGCAAACTCCAAGTTGAACTTAATGTACCATTTATGGTGATATGAAACAGAACTACACCATATTATGTCAGATAGTAAGATGCCAATTTATTAAACTTATCGTTAACTCAATTTCCCTAGCCAAGAGAAGAGATCTTACTGTTCTTTGAGGGTCGATGTTTGCAAATTTAAAGGCTTCTTCGTATGCAAGCTCAAATGGTTTGCAGACAACTGGGGTCTTTGGAACCACCGCACCAGTATTTGGTTGTTCAATGTGTTCAGTTTCTTCTGCACCAACAGAATCATCGGCATTGTTGGTGGGATTCAGTGTCTCAAAACATATAACTGACTCAAAGCAGTCCTCTATTCCAAGCCTTTTGAGCACAGTATCCGCATGTTTCTTATCCGAATTCGTGAAAATCTACACAGGAAGACCAAGTTAGCAACATAACATAAGAGAAACCATTAATCCAAGAGAATTCCCCCCCTTCCCCTTTTTTAAGGACAACATTTTTATACATACTACTTTGCGGATAGGCAGACTAAGTAAAAGGCCCCTCAGGACAGGATCAGGAGTAAGCAACTCGTAGGGCAACCTCCCATGAACAAAACTGCAGAAAGCAATTTTTGTGAAAAAAATTAGATCACACGATTGTCGTAAATGAAGGAGCACAAACTAAGGTCGGACATTTGGTACCTATGAAAGTCATCATAATCGAAGTTATAGCCCTGAGCCTGGAAATCAGGAAAAACAGAAAAACCATGTTCAATTACAATTCTGCTCTGCATACTTTCAGAAGCTATAAACAAAGGTTAAATGGATCACAACCACCATACCTTAAGACCGGCCATTGTTGTCCCATAATCCTTGTACAAAGAAATACACAATTCGGGAACTTCACTTTCGTCCATGCCAAGCCTTTGAATCATATATTCTACAGCAAATATTCATAAAAATTTCATTCAAACAATGAACATTTCACACCAAAGTTTTAAAATCCAGAATCATAAAGCCAGAACAACCTTTAATATTCCTAGTGATTTGTACTGAAATTCCAGAACTCAGAGGGTAAAGGGTGTCGTCTAGATCTGCAAATCGAAACAACACTCCTTGTTATTTTCCGTTCGAGAACCATAGATTCAAATAAGCACACCTTTTGTATGAAAGGACTTACCAAATAGAAGGCACTCATATTGGTGATATTGAACCTGATTTTCCATCTGTTTTCTAGAAGGCTTCAAACAAGACGAATCGAAACGTTCATAAGCATATAAACAATTACATAACAACAAGAGCTGAAAAGCAAAGGGCAGCTTCCATTTACCAAAAAAAGACATGAAATCCAATATTTACAGTTTAAAATTTCTCTTTGGTGAAAGCAATCACAATGTACTCAAACCAAACGTCAACAATCCCTCACAAGACCTTCAGTCTTTTTTTCCCACCATAAAAATCCAATCTTTTAATTTCCAAATACCAACACAAAAATGCCTCAAATAACCAAAAAACGATAACCAACATTCACCAAGAAAACCCAATCAAAGTAGGCAGATGACTCGAATCCCAGAAAGCCTAGACATTTAAGCAACATTTCAACGGACAAAACAAAACCCAAAATTCGATTTCTCCAACATTAACCATTCTAAATTTCCAAGTGAGAAAACAATGCTTCATCACAACCAAAATAGTAAACCCAATATTTGATTCCTCCTACATTAACCATTGTAATAATTGCAACTACAAAAAACATCCAACGTAAGAAACTCCTAACAAAGTAAGAACAGACTAGAGAAATGAGGGTTACCAGATCCGAACGACCGACGTTGCAGAGAGAGAGAGAGAGAGAGAAGAGAGGATATTTTGGTAGGGTAAAGTGAAAGAAAGGAACTAGTCGGAAGCCTGCAAGATGTGTCTGTTTAAATAGGCACACAACTGTTTTTTAAGTATTTAATTCATTTGTTCAAAAAAGGTTCAAAAGTCAGTTTAAACGAGAAAAAGATCTAAGCTCGTTACGTGGCCCTATCGTGTTTTGACACGTACCAATTTACGTGCGTTTAACTGGCAAAGTGTCGCTATCATCATTGTTTTCGCTTTTTTCTTCTTTCGTCTTTGCATGTGACGAATATACAGTAAAAAATTTATAGAAGATCAACTACTTATATTATTATATTTATAGAAGAATTATGTTCCTAACACACTAAAAAATTTAGGATAAATTACGGTTTGGTCTTCGGAACTATTATCTCAGTTAAAATTGACCCATGATTTTGGCAAATTAATCTTTTGAATTATTTGAAATCAATCAATTAACCTCTCACCATTAAATTCCGTCCACTATGCCGTCAAATTCAAATGCAAATTAGTCTTTCACTGTGATTTCTTACTTTTAAGGTATTTTTGGATAGCAAGGAAACAGCACATCAAATCAAATCTTGACGACTAAGAAACATTTGGCACTTTTTTATTTATTTTTTATGTGAGAATCGTGATTTAAATAATAATTTCTTGTTTGGGTATTACAACACCTTATAAAACTCAAAAATCCTCCACAAATAGAAGGCTTTATTCAGTAGAGATTACAACACACCACCTTGTGAAATTTAAAACAAAAAATCTCCAGAAACAGAAAGATTTTCTTCCAAGGATTCTTACCTCGTTAGGACTTTACCTTTCCAAGAGTATTCCATCAACAATTTTTTTATATAAATAAAAGTAGTAACATGACGATGTTAGTGCGCCTGTTGTTCATCTATGCTTGTACGGAATTATATTTTCTTATTCGTTATAAGTATATGCGAAACCATTTTGATTTTTAGTGGTATCATAGTCAGTCCTTCACGTAGTGGTGTTTTGCTTTATGGCAAATTCTACATATTAATTGATTCGATAGATGACTTTTAGTGCGAAGAAATATGAACAAATAAAAAATTATCACATTACTTAGTAATATAATTTTTTTGATATTGCAATATACCAAAAGTTTAAGACATAAACAATAGACACCAATTGATAGATGATATATTGTGACGTATAAATATATATTTGACAAACAATAAAATAATATACACTAAATTCATCTAAACTATAGTAAGTGAGAAGAGTTTGAATTCATAACGCAACAAGTTGAAGAAAGAAAAAAAAATCCTAAGCAATCCACCACTTATTATTTGTTAGAAATAAAGGGGATGAAAGGATTGATTGTTTTGGAAAAAAAGAAGAAGAAAGGATCTATTATAATAGCATCTCTAAATATAAGCTAAATGATTCAAATGTTAATTTAGCTAGCCACTACTTCCAACAATACTAGCTATTTTAGCTTAAGTTAAAATATTTTAATATTATTTTTTTCCTAACCTGATGCATTTAACCTTTGTTTAGGTTTATGCATTAGTTTTGGTAAATATGAAAAATATTTTTTCATTATATATGATACTACAATATACCAAAAGTTTAAGAATTAAACTATAGACACCAAGATGACACATTGTGACGTGCAGATATATATTTGACAACGATAGAATAATATACATTAAATTCATTTAAACTATGAAAAGTGGGAAGAGTTTGACTTCGGAAATGCAGCGAGTTCAAGGAAAAATATTGTTTGTACCATACTTGACCAATCCCGAAACTACCGAGCACCGATCAATGTTATACCTGTCAAGGACCCAGAAGAGTTTCCCTTAACAAGGAGGTCAATCACAGCGCGACACGTGTCGATGTCAGAAGATAATCACAGCGCGACATATGTCAACATCAAAGGCCAATCACAACACGACACGTGTCAATGTCAGAACAAAGCTAGAAACTATCTTCTATAAAAGGAGATCATTCTCCAGGCCATTTGTACTAGATTATTTACTAGAACTCACTAAAGGAGAGCTTGAACCTATGTATTTGTGTAAACCCTTCACAATTAATGAGAATTCCTCTACTCCGTGGACGTAGCCAATCTTGGTGAATCACGTACATCTTATGTTTGCTTCCCTGTCTCTATCCATTTACATATTTATCCACACTAGTGACCGGAGCAATCTAGTGAAGGTCACAAACTTGACACTTTTTGTTGTACTAAAGTCCTCACTGATTTTGTGCATCAACATTTGGCACCGTCTGTGGGAAACGCATTTATTCCTACTCTCTTCAGCTTTGTCAAGCTGGTTTCCACCATTCGTACACTCTTTTTTTGATCGGGCATCCCTCTCCAACATGGGGAGCGAAAGAAGCCACAACACGCATAACGACACCCCCTCGCACCTAGTGCAAAGCAACGAAAGAATGAACCAAAGAAGTTTGTTCTTCAGGCTAAAGTTGATGAGCTGGAGGCTCAGAACAACAAGATAGCAGTGAAGAACAAGGTCCTTTAATAGCAGTATGAGAAGCTCTTCGAGATGCTCTATGAGGCTAGGCATACTCAAACACACGACCTCATCACCCCCGTGGAAGTCAACCATCAACTGGGTGCCCCCCAACACGGAAGGTCACCTGCCTTCGACATGGGTATTCCTGACGAAGAGCGAGCTACTCATCGAAATGTCGATCAACATCTCTCAACCCAGCTGTTTCAACTCGAAGTATGAGAAGTGGAGGAAGGAACATTCTTGCAAAAGGAATGGAAAGATCAAAAGCCGTTTACCGTGACTGTCGAGACTTCTTAAGACATCATCGAGAAAATTCTATCCACATAGGCTCAAGGGTCAAAGACCCAATAGTCATTAAAGGGCTCGGTCATCTACCACAATGTAGGCCAATGCCTAATCCAAGAAAAGAACCACATGCCTTGGAGGGACAAGAAGGTGAAGGAGACTCGGGGGACTTCCAAACGGCACGTCTCGAAAGCCAGTACAGTAAATCTAAGAAAAAGCCACATGCCTTTAACCAAACTTCCATACTTCCAAAGGATGAGGAAAACTTGCAAATGAGAGTTTGAATGATGCCTGACTCCACTTATGACCCTCTTATTCTGCATCTCCTCGAAGAGGTGAACAGGCTAAAGGCCGAGCGTTATTCCTAAATCCCTGGCTGGGATCAACCAAGGCCCGGCCCTTTGACAAAGAGAATTCTTGGCACCCCTCTACAAGGAGAAACGAAACAGAAGCTTGGCTTGCAATCTTATACTGGGAGGGAAGATCTGATTGAGCATATATACTTCTTTGAATCTACCATGGCATACCGAAGACACAATGATGAGGAACGATGTCTCATATTCCCCTCAACTCTCTCTAGTAGAGCTCTCAATTGGTATTGTCGTCTTCGATCTAATACTGTGGATTCCTTCACTGAGCTAAAGAAACTTTTCGTGGCTCAACACATCTTCCAAGCTGATCACGTACACTCCGCTGATAAGCTATACACTATTCATCAGAAATCAAATGAGTCATTGCGTGAATATGCCGGTCGTTTATGCAATGAGTACTCTCGTTGTGTTGAGGCAGATGATAAAACAACACTTAAGGCCTTCACGGTAAGCATGCATGAATGCTTCTTCAAGTGCATGATGAATGCTAACACTTGAAAGACTTACTTTGAGGTAATGATGCAAGCTTACAATCATGCATTTGTCGAGGTAAGGACATACCAAAAGAACCCTCATATGGTTAACCCCTATCAACAAGTGGGAAGTGGAAGTCAAGTTCTACCAAGTGAGGAGATCGTGGCTATTCAGACACCCATTGCATCTTTTCCTGCCTCATTTTGCTAATCGTTTCTACCAAGTGAGGAGATCTTGGCCATTCAGACACCCATTGCATCCTATCCTGCCTCATTTAGCTACTCGCTAAGTCACCAAATGTATTCGTCTCTTGGTAAGGGAATGATTTTTACTCTCAGCAAGCTCATTACAACAAGAGGGATAAAAGTTCGTATCAAGACAACCAGGGGTGAACGTACCCTTAACTATTATGACTATAGGGTCAAGCCTCACTCTTTCAAAGTGGAGGACTAGGTACTGAAGGAAATGCTATTATAAGAAGACATACACATTACAAATCTTTTGACCCTAACCGCTTGAGATCTTTTGTCACACAAGCCATTCGGCAAATATTTAAAGAAAAGATAACTCAGACAACTTCTTCTGAGTCTTTTGCATTCCTAGCATTGGAACACTTGGTCTACGCTGACCTACCTCTATATTCCAACTCAGAGTTCAAACATGCGTACTTTGACACAAAGTAAATGATACTAAGTGTTACAACCAACATGGTTCACATATCGAAAGCATGGATTCCTTCATGCATAGCAAAACATTCATAATCATAACTTATATCAATCAACATAAACATCATACATTCCAACACATTCATACATAAGCCAACTGTGTTTCGAAAGGGTTCAACATACTTTGTGTCATTCGACACTTGCTACAATGTGCCTCGGTACCCTGCCCTTATTCTCACCAACTAGGTGATGAAGGAACTCACCTTCATGCCACCAACCAGGTGATGAAATGTACAACCCGTACTCTAATATTATTTGGCAACTTGCCACTCTTATCACCAACCAGGTGAAGAATGAACTTACCTTCGTGCCACTAACTAAGTGATGAAATATACAACCCAGTACTCTAACATTATTTGGTAACTTGACACTCTTATCACCAACCAGGTGAAGAAGGAACTTACCTTCGTGCCACAAACCAGGTGATGAAATGTACAACCCGTACTCTAATATTATTTGGCAACTTGCCACTCTTATCACCAACCAGGTGAAGAAGGAACTCATCTTCATGCCACCAACCAGGTGATGAAATGTACAACTCGTACTCTCCTTCATGCCACCAACCAAGTGATGAAATGTACAATCCGTACTTTAATATTATTTGGCAACTTGCCACTCTTATCACCAACCAGGTGAAGAAGGAACTCATCTTCGTGCCACCAACCAGGTGATGAAATGTACAACCCGTACTATAATATTATTTGACAACTTGCCACTCTTATC